CTGCAGTTCAACAAACAGCAGGTGATTACGTAGTGCACTCGAAGCCCTGGGATGGGCATCCTGGGGGAGAAAAGAAACTCATCAGACAAGTCCATGTCTTCCAGAAACGGACAACCTGGTGAGGAAACACAGGATCATCATCCACCATTCACTCGTTTAGCTGACATTTATGGAAAATTTACTCTAGACCAGGTACCGAGGGACACGCCGAGGCTTCAGAAACGTGCAGGACACAGCTGATTTCACAGTCCAGGGGGGAAGGCAAACACACAATACCGAATAAGCATCGTGCAGTGACGTCAGGCTTAAGAAGAGGTGTAAGCACCTGGAGCTGTAAGACAGGAGGGAACTCAGAGGAGAGCGGTGGGTTATCAGGAAGGCACGGCGAAGAGCACCTCTACAGCTAACAAGTATACTTCTGACTCGGACACGAGGTAGAAGGAAATAGGCATCTGATAAAGACACAGACGACACAGCGTGAAAGGGTCCCCGGGATTCTTCTGAGCAAAGCCTGAGCTGCAGGGCAGGGTAGAAAGTCTTCCCGTTTCTTTGATGACTCGCAGACCAACCAGTGAATCAGATCTGGAGAAACTTCCAGAAGGTCACACGTGGGTAGCAGCAGAAGTAGGACTGGCACCCAGAACTCCACACACCTCGACGGGGCTTCTCCCCAGGCCCACTCTGGTCCTCTGGGTCTGGCAGTGAGCCAGCCACCTGCGGCTCTGACAGACTGCCATCTGAGGCAGTGGACTGAGGAACCACCTCGGCAGGGGGCTCAGAGAGTGGATAAGAGCGCCCGCCCTACCTCAGCCAAGTGGACTTTTGATCAGTGTTGTCTTGAGGACACGCGTTTGTCTCTAAACACTCCCAAATCTGGGAGCACCTGGGCGGTTCAGTCGGTTAAGCGTCTGACCCTTGGTTTCGGCTCGGGTCATGATCTCGAGGTTCCTGAGTTCGAGCCCCACATCGGGCTCAGCACTGGAGGTGTAGAGCCTGCTTGGGATTCTCTCTCTCTCCTTCTCTCTCTCTCTCTCTCCCCTCCCCACTTGTGCACTCTCTCTCTTTCTCTCAAAATAAATAGATCAATTTAAAAAAATAAAATTAATAAACACTCCCAAAGGAAAACCCATCCCCAACCTTCCCCAGCCTTCCTATAACTGTTTATGACAGCATGCGGACCTGAAGGGGGGAGGAGTGTCAGAAGAAACATTCTAGGAACCTCCTTCTTCCACAGCGGGGAAACAGGCCCACTCACACCACAGGTCAGACAGCACCTGGACAAAAGGTCTAGCACATTTTACTGAACGCCCCCTGCTTGGTGGCCCATGAGCTCATTCTCACAGCCCACGTTTTCTGTCACCTTGGGAGTGATAGGCACTGGAAGGGCAAGGCTGCTGTCACAAGGATACATTAATTGTGTACTGTGCAGACAGAGCCTAAGCAATGAAGAAATAAAGAGAGAAGAAACCCTTTCAAAGTCTCCTCTCAAGCTTCTCAAAGGTGCGTCCCAGCCACCACCCTCTGCAATGTCACCCAAGTCCTTTGAGGTTTGCTCTCTCATTCAAATGCCCCAGCTCCCACTGCTCTCCTGTCAGTACCCGGCAGCAAAGGTGGGAGAGGACTGCCAAATTCTTGTGAATCCTGAAGATTTCCTTTATGAGTCACGGAAAACCGAAATAACTC